CCAGTTTATTGTCAGGCTGAGCAGCCTTGTCTCATGTCAGCCCTGAGCAAGTTCTGTTAACACCAAAAATACACAAATAAAACCAACTCAGGGGTGACTACAGAGGGAAATAGTGATGGATGCCTAAACTGCTGTAATTGAACTCATGCTGGAGTTTCCATAAGCAGAATAAATGAAAAAATCTCCCTTTTTTGAGGAGGGATATTCAGTATAGATGCCAAGGCAGGAAAAACCAGGCACTGCTGTGCTCTGGAAATATCCACCATTGTATGAGCGATGCACCCACCTTGTAATCTCAGATAAAACCAGGCACCCTCCTTCAGCCCTGGTGGGAGCCCGGGGAGGCTGTAATTAGCCTGCAATGCTAATTAGTTCTGCAATTCTTTACAAGTCAATTTACTGAGAGTTCTCCTCTCATGTTGAACAAGGGCTTCTCTGGGTTGTGCTTTGAATTTAAGGCACCTGGAAAGACAAAGGCTTAAAAGCATCCATGAGGGTCACTCCTGTCAGATCTTCCCCTGCTCTGGACAACCAGGAGTGACCACTGAGGCCCAGCCCAGCTCTGGCGGTCAGTGATGCTGGGGTGAGACACCCCAGGCTGGTTCTTCTGGGGAACAGCAGCCCAAAAAGGGGAAAAGTTATTAAATAACCTGTTCTGTCTCTTATGCAGCTCCCATTCTCCTAATATGATGCTTTTTTAGCTGGTTATAAATGGGATATTTCCATTTATACAGCATATGGAGCTTCTGAAACAAGAGTTAGGAAAGGAAATTAGTTTTTCCTCATAGAGACATTATTCTTCAGTCATTCCAGTTTTAAATCATGCTAAGGAATGCAACAGCTGAAGCATTTTTGCTGATTTATCTGGGCAGGGACAGGACACTGCTGTAGTGTCTGCCAGAATTAATGGGGTGCCTGTGGACACTCAGAAATCTAACACCATTCCTCTGTGTCTTCAGGAAATAAAGGCCAAAGAACAAAGTAGTTATAGTATATTTTATTCACCTAGAAACAAAGGGTCGAAAGTCACAGCATGGAGGTTCATTTTATTTTGTAAACTCATTAAAAAGATGTCCATGTACAAAATAAGGACATTTTCAACAACAGAACTGCAGACAAAGGAAACTATAAAAATTCAATGCATTAATAAAAAGGTTTTATTTTCTTTCTGCATAATTCCTTGCACCTTCCATAGCAGTGTGCACGCACTCTGAAGTACAGTTGTTAGAATCATTAAAATTCAAGAGGCTGAACATGAAGCCATTGCTCTGCTGGAGGAATGTGCTGCTGAAAGATCCAAACCCTGGAGCACGTTAACTAAAGTGAGACAAGGCTGAGGGACCTGGCTGAAGGCTGCTAAGAGGTTGCTGTGCATTGATCTGCTCACAGTTCCAGCTTGCTTTGCTTCCTGCAGATACCTGGAACAGTCCTGGGGAGGAGCAGGGTCAGGCTGAGCAGGGCCTGGCCAGAGGTGGCTGCTGCCCTAACACATCTAATGCAAATTAAAAACATTGCTGCAGCCAAACAGCTGCCATCCCAGCAAGTGTTAGCTGTGCACCAGTCTGAGCAGCTGCCTGATTGGGATTTAGGATTCACTCCTCAGTCCTGGATATTCCTGATTGCAAGTCTGGAACCCGTGATACACTGTCCGTAACAGGTCAATTATAAAATTTAAGCTGTGCTGATTTGTAATTTAATTCATCCCTGTTTCTCACCCCAAAATAACTCCCAGCACTGAAAACCCATGCCCTGCTTGAGGCTCCTGTCAGGGTTTCCTTCCTGTGTCCTCAGGGTAGGCCTGGCCTGCAGAGTCAGGGTCAGAACAGCCCCTGTGGGTCCCTGCAGTGCCCTCCAGGTGTGCCAGCCTCAGGAGCCCAGCAAACACCTCCCATGGGCACAGAGCAGCTCCAGAGCCCGCAGGGGATGGGTTCAGCTCCCATGGGCACAGAGCAGCTCCAGAGCCTGCAGTGGATTCAGCTCCCATGGGCACAGAGCAGCTCCAGAGCCCGCAGGGGATGGATTCAGCTCCCATGGGCACAGAGCAGCTCCAGAGCTGCAGTGGATTCAGCTCCCATGGGCACAGAGCAGTGCCCTCCAGGTGTGCCAGCCTCAGGAGCCCAGCAAGCACCTCCCATGGGCACAGAGCAGCTGCAGAGCTGCAGTGTATTCAGCTCCCCATGGGCACAGAGCAGCTCCAGAGCTGCAGGGGATGGATTCAGCTCCCCATGGGCACAGAGCAGCTCCAGAGCTGCAGTGGATTCAGCTCCCCATGGGCACAGAGCAGCTCCAGAGCCTGCAGGGGATGGATTCAGCTTCAGAGCCCGCAGGGGATGGATTCAGCTCCCCACGGGCACAGAGCAGCTGCAGAGCTGCAGGGTTCATTGATTCACGCCCAGCTCTGCTGTCCCTGGCAGGCCGCAGTGCAAGAAGCAGCCCCTGCCCCAAGGCACTGCCCG